CTTCTTAACCTTCCAGAAAATGCAAGAGAAAAAGAAACGCAATAAAAGTTCTGGGGAAATAAGAAGTTGAATCTAGCAAAGTCGGTTAGACAAGTTCTTATCCTTCAAGAAAAATGCAACAGAAGCAGAATATCATTATAAATCCATAAAGAGAATCAAAATTCTAAAAATATTCAACATTTCAGTTCATACAAAAAACACAAGACTAAAGGTTAGCTCCCCTTTCCTGATTCTTGTTCCTTCCTAGATGAAGAACACCTCTTCAGAAGCTCTTGCTACCTTCTCTATAACTCATATTCTAGTCCTAATATCCCTTATTTTTTACGAAAGTCTTCCTCAATCTCACTCTCCTTCCTCCAAAACTTTATTTATCACTCCTATTTATAGTTGAAGTTAGGGTTACTGTAGCAATATTGTAGTTGTACTACATTTTACTGTAGCAGTACTACAATTCACTATAGCAGTACTACAATTCACTATAGCAGTACTATAGCTTGTACTACATTTTTCTTGTAGTAGTGTTGTAGCAACACATGATTCACGAGCTATTTTTATTGTAGCACTATACATATTTCACTATAGCACTATACATATTTTACTGTAGCATTATACATAAAATTATTTTTTTTATTTCAAAAAAATCTAGTATCTTAATTACATCTATTTTCAAGGGTCTTACATTCCTCGATGATGCGATTCGTCTTCTTCAGAGATGGCATCTGGTAGTACTCTTTCCTTATCCAAAAGACCATCAATTACCTCCGAGAAGCTAAATGGAAAAAATTATCTATCATGGTCTGCTTTCGTTGAAATGTGGTTCCTTGGCCAAGGGCATTATGACCACCTTGAGCGAGATGGAAGCCACGTGCGTGTTGAAAAAGCTTATTAGTGGAAGCAAGCAAATTTCCAGTTGTGTGCCCTATTATGGCAATCAGTGGAACCCAGACTTCTTTTATCTTTGAGAGCTTTCAAAACTTGTCACTCCTTTCGGAAGAAAGCTCAAAATATCTATGTCAATGATATTCAACGTCTCTATGACACTATAAAAAAGCTTGCATCTCTTAAAATGGTAGACCGTGATATGGTGTCCTTCATGGCTGAAGCCCAATCTGATGTCGAAGAACTCAAGATGTTTTTGGAAATGGACCCATTAGAGGATATAAAAAAGAAATTAGACAAATTTTACATGGTGTGATCCTTCGCAGCCTACATCCCGACTTTGATCACCTTAGAGATCAACTTCTAACCAGTCATGAGGTCCCCTCCATGGAAACATTGACCACTCGCCTTCTGCATGTCCCGGTAACTCAAACTCAGGAAGCACATGAATTAGTGGAATCATTTGTCATGGTTACCACACGAGGAAGAGGAGGACGTGGCATTAGAGGAGGAGGACGAGGAGGACGAGGACGTCCTCAATGCACATACTACAAAAGGATGGGTCACACTCAAGAGAATTGTTACTCCTTACATGGTTTCCCTTCTAAAACCGCCCATATTTCATAGACTGAAACTTCCACTTTAAAGACTGAAACTTCCACTTCTAAGTTCACCGAGGATGAATATCAAGAGTATCTAAGGTTAAAGTCCAATAGCTTGGCACAATCATCTCAATCTTCAAGTACATCAACAGCCTGTGTTTCTAATCCATGGAAGGTCAAAATTCATGGGTAAATAACTCAGGTGTTTTTTTATCACATTTATGGTAATACCTCTTTGTTCTCATCTATTTCCTTTCGAGAAAACCCTCATTTCATAACCCTTGCAAATGGATCTAAAACTTCCTCAAAAGGAGTCAGTCATGTTTCCTTGTCTCCCTCCCTCAATGTCAACCATGTCCTTTTTGTCCCTAATTGTTCTTTTAATTTAATTTCGCTAAGTCAATTGACTAGAATGTTAAATTGTTTAATAATCTTTGATCACAAACTTTTTGTTATACAAGAGCGTGGTTCGAGGAGATAGATTGGAGAAAGATACGAAGCTGACGGATTATACAATTTTGGATCTCGTCCAAGGGTGTCCTGTGTCGCTGCTCCTAATCCTAAAGTGCTACATGATCGACTTGGTCATCCTCATTTGTCCAAATTAAAAAGTGTGTCCTGAACTTAGTGTTCTCCAGACCTTAGAATGTGAGTCATGCCAATTAGGAAAACATGTTAGATCTGTTGGGACAATTGGTATCGATATTGCGCAGCAGAAATAATTAAAACTTAGAGTACGATACGGATTGTTAAAAGCAAAGAGTTTGTTCAATCAATTTAAAAAATGGTTCCTTTAATTTTCTCTTAAACGTTTTATCAAATAGTTGATGTTCAGAAAATGTAAATAGTGTAGGGAATAGAAGAAATCACACAAAGGATTTTTATCCCAGTTTGAATCAAAAGATTCTACGTCTAGTTGTTAATCACTATAAAGAGTGATTAACGATTTCACTAAAAACAGTTTTACAAATTACAATAAAGTGAATAGAATAAGAATGATAAAACCTTCCTTCGACGAACGAACTGGAAGAAAACTTCCTTTGACAAACGAATCGGAAGCAAGCAGCGAACACTTTCCTTCGATAGATGAACCAGAACAGTGCCATAGAAAATCTTCCTTCGACTAACGAACTGGAAGAAAACAACTCTACCAACTTGAAGAGAACCACTCCGACCTTTGACAGATAAAGCGCGAGCTTCTCCTATTTACAAGACTTGACAAGAGCAATGAACTAACACTTGAGAACTTCCTCAGATCACATTGTATTCTCAAATGACTTAAATGATCCCTCTAAGGGTTTTAGAAAACTATATATAGCCCACAGGTCTGAATTTAAAAAGACACAATACAACTGTCAGTGATATTCGATTATGGTAAGTAATAATCGATTATTCAAGTCCGTTACAAGGTTTTCAAAAAAGTGATAATCGATTATTCTGAGGAATAATCGATTATTTGCGAGACTTGAGCAATTCACATCCATACCAGGATAATCGATTATTTCAAGCAATAATCGATTATCTGAGAAAGCAATGGTTTTTCAACAAGGCTCGTGATAATCGATTATTACATCACATAATCGATTATATGCGCAGATATTCTAAAGATAGTAGATTTCTAAGTGTTTACATGTTCAAGGTTATTCCTAATACATTTCCAGTTTACAAAAGTAGTTTTAAATAAATTACATCTTCATTCTTCGAGTTCTTCTCTTGCAGCATCATCAAAATCATTATCTATTAAAATACCAATGCACTTCATTGGTAACAATCTCCCCCTTTTTGATGATGATAAAAAATCATTTGTTTAAAAGCAACTTTGTGTTATCTGCAAAAACAAATTCAAACTCACAACGAAAAAAGTTAGCAGTAACTGTACTATGAATTTGTTCTTCTCCCCCTTTTTGATCAAAAGCAAAAAGACTAAACATCTCCCCCTTAAAAGGTGCTCCCCTCTTTAAAATAATGTATGCACTATATTGGAACAAGAGAGCATTTTATTTAATTTGAGAGAAAGTTTCATACATAGATATTTAGAAGCATCTTACTAATTTAAAACAAAACAAACACAAGCAAACAAACAATAGGCCGAAAGTATAAAATTCTGGACTGGGTGGTCTTTCTAGAGGATGAAGATTGAGATGATTTTCAATGTTCCCAAGACGTGTGTCAAAGTCGTTAAACTGGTCAATCACATGTTCCCAAAACCCTACCGAAAAGAGGTAATTGGAAGAGATTTAAAAGTACATTACAGTGTGCGTCTCATTAGAGCTGCAAAGAGGCACGACACGGGGATGTAGTATGAGGAAAAGAAGCAAAACATAATCATAAAACCTAATTTAAACTAAGGATAAAGATGTAATTTCAACTTTTAAGCGATTAGTGGGTACACATGGGTCGGGTATTAAAAAACCCGCTACTCGCGGGTACCTATTACCTACAGGTACCAACTATCCATAACGGGTTTAATCTGCGGATACACGCGGGCACTGGTTTTTTGCCATCCCTACATACAATGCCTTTTTTCAGTTTATACACAGAAAATTTGAAATCTTCAAATCCAGGAGGCTGACTAACATATACCTCCTATTTTATAAAACCATTCAAAAATGCACTTTTTACATCCATTTGATATAGTTTGAATTTCATCAATGATGCATAAGCAAGTACAAGTCTAATTGCTTCTAACTTGGCTATTAGGGCATAGGTTTCATCATAATATATAGCTTCTTCTTAACAGTATCCCTTTGCAATTAGTCTTGCTTTATTCTTTGTGATATTTCCATCTTCATCAAGCTTGTTTCTGAAAACCCATTTTGTTCCTATGACTTGATAGTCTTCTTTTCTAGGAATGAGTTCTCTAACATCATTCCTTTCAAATTGATTTACCTTTTCTTGCATAGCAACGCACCACTTATCATCTTGAGGAACTTATTTTATATTCTTGGGTTATATCTCAGATACAAAATACCCAATCTATTTTATTAAAACTTGTCCCAAACAATGATTTTTTATCTTTTTTATTTGTACACAATTTACAATTTTACCATTCGTGTGATTTGACACAACTCTTCACTTCATTTAAAAAATTAGAATGTACAATACTTCACTTCGTCTTTCATTATTTTATTCTCATCTCATCTTCGTCAGCCTAACAAGCACTACCACAACAACACTAATCGTCTCACTACACAATCCGACGTAATCAACACAACACTTCGTTTAAGGCGATTATTATTTTCCTTTCTCCCTACACAATCCAACATAATTAAAAAAACTGGAACACACCCACAACACAACACTTCGTTTAAGGTGAGTATTATTTTCCTTCCTCGACCGCATCAGCCCAACATCAGAAGGCAGTCCAAAAAGCAAAAATAAAAATTCAAAACATTTACATTTTGGATGACAAAAAAATAAAATAAAAACTGACTGGACGGACAGGCAGGTCTGGCCAGACTAGCCGGCTATTGCATCGAGTTTAATTAAACATCGCTACACTAATTGAAACCTAGGATCACAACTCAGCAAAATTATCCTTTCAATTGTCAAATTTAAAACCCATAACTTAAATGCCTTGGATACACGCCATACCAAAATTTGTAAGAAAATTTAACCACACTGCAGATCTGCTACCGGTAGCAGTTCATCATGACATTTCACCACACTCATGCAAAAAGGCTATATACAAACTACTATAATTTTGTTAAGATTGTGAGGGTAAAGACCAATTTCTGACCCAATCTGTCAGAGTTGCAACATTTCTACTAATGTCATCGATATTATCACTCTTCAATGCAATCACTTTCTCCTCCGAGTAACTATCTTTAGCCTCCTCCAGCAGAACTTGGAAGATTTCACATTCAATGTTGTTTGAAAGCTTTGAATCTTTGTACCCCCTGTTACATATACGGGAAAAAGTTTATAATGAAACCAACAATAGTGTAGCAAAATCAACATCCAATAACAGAAACAAGTGCTTTCATACCTCCTACTCAAACGGTCATACAAAATGGTATTATCAGTTTGAAGTACAACTACACAATCAAACCATCGCTCAGGAAAGAAATCACAGCCATGGTAATCCACAATGTTTCCGCCTTCTTCCATTACATCCTCAAGTTCATCACAGACCTACAGAAACCATGTAAAATTATAAAACCTATAAATCAAACAACATACACATGTCAAGAATCGCATAAATGATGAAAAATAATATTAAAATTATTTCATCTGATCCAACATAACACAAACCAAATACAGGCTTCGTCAAACTAAAGTATCTCCACACAATTGTTCTTAATAATAGAAAATAAAGAAGCTTCCATTTTCTTTTGGTAATGAAGAGCCCCAAGAAATTACAACCAAATGTACATAATCAATAGTATAAATAAACAACTAAAGTCAAGGAAAATTCAGAAGAAAAAATAGATTCAGTTTGTACTACTGGAAGTTCAGCACATTTATGCACTGTAGTAATAATTTCAAGATTTGTTATCAAGAAGAGAAAGGTACAAGGACAGCTAAAGGGATTAGACACTAGGGGAGTAAGAATAAATGGCAAGGATATGTTGCTCCGCAGATGGCATCTACAAAGTGTAGAATTTGGAACACTCACACTTCAGGATGTTACTTTGACTAAAGAGTTGAGCAAAAAAGTTTCAACTTTTCTCAGTACCTTGGACCCCAATCTCGTTATCAGTGATCTCCAAGAGATATTAAAAACTGATTCAGGAATATTGTACCATTAAGTAGCATGAACCTTTGCTAATTGCTACAATGGAATCATGACGTACAGAGAGATAGTCTCCAGTTCAATGTTCAATATATCTGCCACCCCAATCTTGTTATTAGTGATCTCCAAGAGATATTAAAAACTGATTCAGGAATATTGTACCATTAAGTAGCATGAACCTTTGCTAATTGCTACATTGGAATCATGACGTACAGAGAGATAGTCTCCAGTTCAATGTTCAATATATCTGCCACCGCAAGTTTTGACAAGGATCATCACTTTATTATAGTTTAGAATCTAATGACCTACTAACAACACCTTCAAACAAAATACACTTATAAGAACATTTCAAAATATTTTAGGCTATTCAAAATTGAAATGAGTAAAATAAGATTGTATTTGCCAACTTAAATAAATGTCGAGTAAATTATTTTCTAGCTTTGCACTTTACAAGTTTCCTTCCTTTAGGAGAGCTAAATAGCAAACAAAAGCCTACATAAATGGTTGTAAACATATAAATTGGCAGCTTACCAAGTCTTCATTAAGAACGTAACAATCAAGCTCCTCATCCCAACCATCATGCAAGTTCTTTTCTTTGACTAATTCTCCAATATTGATGTGGCAGAGTTGGGTGGCTTCCGCTAGAGTAGTGCACATGGTTGTCTTTCCAGTCCCCGGTGTTCCAGTCACCAGAATGTTTGGATTCTTCCTCTTACCATTTTCTAGCACCATGACTGCAACCTACATCAACAAGTAGACACTCTCACTGTTTCACATATAAAAATATCCTGGGACTTTTGGTAAATGTTACAACAAAATATAATTATCATCATCAAAATAAATTGTTAGGTTTTGGTGCCATTGTGAAAGAGAAACTACACTTATGTACAAGGCTATTTTCAAATTTATTCTTCAATTAAATCTCTACTGCAAGGCCATTGTTTTTTTTTTCAATCCGTGGTATCTCCCCGCTTGCTAGGGCAAGGCAGCATACATCTCACCTCACCAGGTGGGAACCTTACGCGCTACGTCACACATTTGTTCTGCTTCAGTTTCTCTTATCATTTTAAGGCAATTTAAAGTCTACCTACTGAAAACATAAAGAGTACTACTTTTAAAAGAAAAGAAAAATTAAATGGTTGAATAAGACAGTTCTTCACCACGGCATAACCATAGTTCCAAGGAGGGAAATTACAAGACCCTTTATAACTTCTTTAGAATCAGGTTTTGGATATCCAAGCTCAGCCATAAAACATGCAGCAATTGTGAATACAAGAAATGCAATCAAGATTTCGAGTTTCCTAACCTGTCCAACCACAATACAAAAAGGGCTCGTGTTGTTTTTATAAAAATTTCTCCGCTGTAAGTTAGAACCAACACAAAAAAAAAATGATACATCAAAAGCACAGAAGTACATTTACGTTTACAAAAGACCACCATGCCACCATCAAGCAAAAAAACTGTCAACTATCAACAAAATCACTAGTCTTATGAACAGAAACAGTATGTTCCATTGAAACCACCTAACAACAACAATCTTTACCAAATACCACAGTAAGTACGAGGCGTTCAAAGAATCATAATTCAACGGACCCCAAGCACAACTTCAATGACTCGTCCATTATTCTTATAATGTTCAATCCTAAACCGGAAAGTGCTCAAAGAAATAAAAGAAACAGAAACTAAACCCAAGAACTTAGGGCGAATCAAAATGAATGAAGAAATTAGGGTCAATCCAAGAACTAGGGCGAATTGAATTGAGTTAGGAAATTAGGGTCAGTCCAAAAAGTAGGGCTAATCGCATTGAAGAAATTAGGGCCAATAAAAGAGAAACGAACCTCTCTCGTAGGCGAGGTTCGCCGCCGTCGACTAAAACAGCAGTGGGTGTGGTAAACGTAGTCGGTGATGAGAAGGTTAACGTCGTGCGTAGCAGCGTGGTTCGTGGGTTTAGCAAACTCGCTAAGAATAAGTAAAACGGGTTGCGGGTTGGTCCACCCAAACTCGCTTATTGGACCCGCCAGGTTGTGGGTTCTTTTGGGTCGGGCTGCAACGGTTTCACGGTTCAATCTTCTAATCCGGTCCACTTTTTTTAAGTCGGATTAGCAGGCCGCCAACGAGCTAGATCCGATTTGCCATTCTTATTTAACAACATTCTATAAATTTAAAATAGAAACTTGAATTTTCAGTTTTATTTTTTTATACGGATGTTAGTAATCACATATAAAAGGCATGAAAAAAAGCTTAGTATTCATCTTTACCATATTATTATTCAATTGTCTGGATAAAAGTGTTATAGAAAACTAACTATGTATAACAAGTGAATATTATAATCAAACCATAATAAAAATATATAATTTCTGTCATGGTTTTGAAACTATTGGAATATCATAACAAGTGCGTATTTGAAGATTAAGGAAGTTATCATTTCCATAAATATCAATGTTATAACTAGTGGTGTCAAAATGGGTTAAAACAGCATATTAATCCGAGTCATCATAGGTTTGGATTGGGTTGGGTTTGAAAAAAAAATGAAATTCTTTTATACGAGTCAATTTTTAACCTGATTCATCGGGTTGAACCCGTGGTGAGCCGAGTTGGCTCACCAACCCACCTAGTTTAATTTAATTATTTATTGTTTTGTATTTCAATATTATTAGTTAACCTTTGTTTATTGTATTGTAAATGGTAATAATGAAAAAAAAAAGTTTCAGGAGAATAAAATATTATAAATTTATTCATTCAATACTCTAATCTTATTACTAATATTATCAATATTATAACTTATTTATTCGCATTTTTGGATTATATTTAAGTTGTATGTTAATTTTTTTATTTCGAATTATCTTTGGAGTTTAACATCATCTTATAGTGAAATCATTTAAATTTGAATTACAAAAAACCCACCAACCTGTTGTGGCTGAAACGGGTTCGAATTTTTTTGACTCGCTAATAAATGAGCTGAATTTTGTTGACTCGCTAATAAATGAGCTGTGTTGGGTTGGATCACTAAGTGACCTATCCATGGTGAGCCTCAAGTTAGATCGGATGGTCCGTTTTGACAGCACTAGTTCTAACTTTAATAATCCTGAGATAATATTATTATGATTAATTATTATATTTAAGATATTATTTGTTTTGAAATCTTTTGTTTTAGTTTTCAAGTATATTTCAAAAACTTTGATAAAAAATGTGTATTTAAATTGTTTTTAATCTTAAGTTCTAAGTGATATAGATTTGTAGAAAATATAAATAATATGAGACTATTAAAACTATAATATCAATTATGTAACCCGTTATAATTAAAACATTTTTTATTAGTTATGTATATTCAAATTATTAGTTGATTTTGGCATTTAAAAAATTATTTGTTAAAATACACTCTTTATATATTTTTATAACTATTAATCAGAGAAATTATTGCGTGCTATTTAAAAAAAAAAAAACTTTTTCTACCCTTATAAACATAATTAAAGGGCTTTATCTTTTGTAATTATACTACTATATTGTGAACATATTTTCCTTACTATTTATATCTTTATAAACATAATTTTTAATAAAAATAATTGTTGTTCTCTAGGGTAGACATATTTTTATTCTTTCTACCGTTATAAACTACTTTTTGTAACTATTATCTTGTGTAGATACTCTTATACCATTTTCATACTTATAAATATCTTTTGTTAGGTTTCTGTTAGTTATGCAAAATAAATAACTAATGCCTGAATCGTCTTTTACATTTCTCCGTATCAAATTTCAATGTCTAGCTAATACTAAATTTTAGTTTTAAAATCACATTATCAATACCTGTTTATCAAATTTGCCACTCATTTTTTCCTTCACAAACGGTCAACGTATATACACATGCCAACCACAATACGTGTCTTACCAAGTTGTTAAAGTAACTATAAAACTACATGCATAATTAGAATGCACACACCATGCATTATCTATACATATAACAGTTGTTTGTCATACATATAAAACATTACACAAGTTCTCATTCTCATTGCCACGCACTTCATTCATCGTATTCACCAAAACCAAAAACGTGACTGGGTTCATAAAAATGTTTCCCTTGGACCAACAATTTGATGGTTTGATGCACATGAGTACGTATTCCATCACTTTTGATCTTCCAACTTTGACCATTGTTTTATTTGTACTCACATCGTTGTTCTTCATCCTACACCATATTCTCAATGGGATGTTTTTCTGGGTAATGGAAATGGGGCCAAATGAACGTGATGTTGTGCATAGCAATTTGCATGCTTGGACATTGGCAACTGCATTTGAAGGAGTTTATGCCAGAATAGGACAAAATCTTAGAACTTCCAAGAAATTGCCACAGTTGGTGAACTATGGAATGCATGGTCAAGCAATAAGTTGTGGGGAATGTTCCATTTGCTTGGAAGAGTTTCAAGCCAATGAATTATGTCAAGTTTTTCCTGTGTGCAAACACATTTTCCATTCAGATTGCATCAATCAATGGTTCCAAAAGAAATTAAATTGTCCCATATGTCGTACTTGTATATATGTAGATAATTTGTAGTTGTTGTGAAAAGTTTGTATAATTGTATATACTTATAAATTATTTTTGGTATTTTTGTCATAGAAAAAATATAACTAGTTTGAGATCTTTTTTATATTTGAGAAATAAAGAAAGTATAAAAAAATTAAGGTCATTGCTTCTGTGTTCCTTATTTAAAGTACATCTTTATATTTATCTCTTCTTATATAATAATTAAAGATAATGTTAGAAAGTGAATTTCAACCTTACAAAATCAATTTATAAGTGAAGTTTACACCCACACATATACTCTAAATTGACCTTATATTTAGTCGATATTGATACTTTTAACACACTATCCACATGCCAAAGTATATACATATCGCGTGTGAAATTAGACAATAATGAGTGATCAATAACAATCCAAGAGTAGTGGAATAATAAACTTAACAATGAATAGAGACTAGTAAGGTTAAATTTGCATACACACACTCGCATTCACGCACACGCACACACACATATTTGACTTTATCTCTATTCGAGGTAGAATTTTCAACATATAAATAGATAAATAAGTGATCTCACATGTGGGCAATGAATAGAGACACATTGAAAGGATTTTAAAACATAATTTAGAGAAGGATTACACAAACAATCATTAAAGACTAATTAGTAGAAGGGTTAAATATGTTTTTAGTCCCGAAACTATTGACCGTTTCTGGTTTTCGTCCCTGTTTCAAAATAAGGTACAATTTGGTTCTTCATTCTTTTCGAAACGTTCGTTTTAGTCCTCGAAAACTAAACACCGTTTAAAAATTTGGTCCTCATTTAGCAATAAATGAGGACTAAAACCAAAATTCCGAGGACTAAAACGAACGTTTCGAAAAAAATGAGGACCAAATTGTACCTTACTTTGAAAGAGGGACGAAAACCAAAAACGGCCAATAGTTTAGGGACTAAAAACATATTTAACCCTTAGTAGAAAAATTCTATAGAAAATTCACTTTAATATCATGACTATGTAAAGGAACATAAATATGACTATGTAAAGGAATATAAGTGTCTTATATCCAATGGTTTGGTATGACTTATAAAATCAATGTTTAGTCCTTTTGAAAATAGTTCAACATGGAAACAATTCTTGCGAATAACCAAATTTCTTGTAAAATGAAAAAGAAAAAAATGGTAATTTATTTCATGTATTTCATAATGAAGAGTAAGAAAAAATATTTAAGAACTACTCCAAAATTTGTCAAAGTCTAAGTAAAAAGAGAAACAACTTAAAATCTTTGATTAAAAATGATAAAAAACGATGTTGCTTTTTTCTTATATAAATTTACTTATTGCATAAAAAATGTTACTATTCAGTTTTTTTAGTTTCCATGTTAAGTTGTATTAAAACTGTAAATTTTGTTTATTTGTTCTTCAATTTGCAACTAAAATAAATTTCTTTTACATCCTATTGAATACAAACAAAACGAAAACAAGAAAAATAGATGAATCTTTTGAAATTTTTAGAGTTAAAAAAAAGTTAAGAAGATGACACGAGTTACAAGAAAAAAAATCATATTTAAATTTAATAATTTAAAGGATGATTTAAGAAGAAGACAACACAAAAATTATATATAGTTTTATAAGTGTTAATTTGAAAATAAAATTGAAAGTTTTATAGTTATCATTTTCTATTAAATTGAAGTTTTATTTTAATATTATGCATTGACCTTTATCTCAACTAAAATATCAAAGATAAAATTTTAATTTTAATTTGAGAAAAAAACATAAATGAAAAGTTGTTGTCAAGTTTTCAAGCCAATAGTTGGAATCACAATATTACACATGATTTACTTAAATAACCATAGCAAATATTACGTAATAATGTCACACTATTATATGTGAAAAGTTGTCAATCTAATCATATACGTCATAAAAAAACTCTATTAAAAACCAGTCATCTTTTCCAGATAATACTTTTCTAAAATAATGATTTCATGTAAATTCAAACATCTATGTTTGGTATTGACAACAAATTTAATATGTCATGTTCCAATTATTCATCTTCTTTTTTTCAACAAAACTCAAGACATTTGACATTCAACTCATAATGTAACTTTTGTAAACAAAACAGTTTTTCTCAAATCATGGAGAATCAAGAACTTTCTCCACAATCTTTTTGGGACCCTTTTACCTTGTCATATGTTACTGCCAATGCTCCTAATTTGATTTTAATATTGTTCTTCTGTCTTATAGTGGTCACCATATTTTCAACAATAGTTGTTCTTGTCCTACTAAAATCATGCGAAATTGTATCAGATATTCTGCTTGAAACACTTGAGGATGATGTTGAAGATGGAAGAATACCTTTGGTAATTGAGTCTTTTCTGAATTATCAAGATTCTTTGAATCAAATAAGTCATAGTAGGGAAAGATTACAACCATATTCGCAAGCTT